AAAAGCGCAAAAGAAAATCAAGGATGCACAAAAGAGAGAACAAAAATACGAAAAACAAAAAATAAAGAGAAACACAAAAAATAAAATCAATGCCCAAACTAAATATCCTACTTGCCTTCCCCGGCAACGGCGCCAAATTTGTTGTGTACAAATTGTTATTTTTACCGAGTACCGAATCGAAAGATTCGTTCCCCGGGTCGATCTCACGAGGAAGGCTGTTCGGAATTCAGCTTTGGTATTGACAACACATAAAAGCCAAATAAATCCTAAACATTCTAATAAAATAGGGGTTGGATGAATTATCAGCTAAGAAATAAAATAAAAACAATAATCTTCCTAATAATGTAAAAGAAGCGAAGATGGAGAAGCTAGGGAATCTGGGATAATTAATTCAAGTTCTATTTGTAAAATCGGGACATTGATCATTCTATTTCAGATTGACACTCTCGCTTAAACATCTAGCGGTTCGTTCCCAATAACTCTTCGTAACAAGGGATTGAACATAGACGAACAAACTCGAGCATACGACACAGGCCAATTATCCCATCCCAATAACTTTTCGTAACAAGGGACGGGTCATCGACAAGCGCAAATTTCAACCCAAAACCTATAGACTAATTCAGTTACGAAATCGTCTACCTCATGCGAGCCTAAGTCTACGACTTCTCCCTTTTCGGTTCAAAAAGTCGCTAATTTAACTAGAAGGTGATTAATCAACTAGTCATATCGAATCAACAAAACCCTAACTCAACTAATCAACATCCAATTGTTTCTAATTACAAGATCGAAGTGTCACCCTTCGATTATATCAACCAATAAAACAAGATTCTATCAATTCGAATTAAATCAACCTGCATAAGAACGAACAATTCAAGCCCGAGAGATACACGTTAAACGAGAATAATCATCCCCTATCCTTAGCAATCAGAATTAGCTACTTAACATGAATTCAACAGAATCAAGCAATTCACCTCAAATAATCATTCACATGAATTAAACAAGATGAAAAACTTACAATCAATCCATATTCAAGAGTCGAATCCAAGTTACAAGCTTAACCCTAATTATCAAAAGGAAGAAAAAAAATGGAGAATGATGATGGAAAGAAGAAGAAAAATGAAGAAGAAGAAGAAGAGAAGAGAAGAGAAGAGAAGAGAAGAGAAGAGAAGGAGTGATTCGTGTTCTCAGACCTAGGTTTACACCTGGTCGAGATGTCTCTCGAGTCTCGAACAAGTTCTCCTTTATATGGTTCGAAAAATCGAGCAAAAACGAGAGAGAACAAGAAAAAACAATTCTGGCCCGCGACTAGGCCATAGCGGCGCTATGGGTCGCGGGGCTTGGGCGTCTGGCCATCGCTATGGGCGCGCTTCGCTGGTAGCGCCGCTAGCTGGGTTGGCCATAGCGGCGCTATGGCCCGACAGCCTTGCACGATTTCACGGTTTGGGCTCGTTCGGGCTCGTTTGGACTCGGAATTCGATTCCGCTTTTTCCTGTGTGTTACCAACGAACTCCTCTATTTAATTATGCTTTTACAATAAACTTTTTCCCATAATTAGGTCCTCCCGAAGCTTCAAACCTACACACCATAATCAAAGAAAAAAAACAAAAAAAACACACGAAAACACAAGAAAAACCGAAATAGATCAAATCAAGCAATAAACTACAAAAACGAATAAAACCCAACAAAAAGACTCAATATGGGGGAAAAAGAAAGACAAAGAGACAAATAAAAATGCAACAAAAATGGGACAAACAGTAGTCACCTTGCCCCCAAGAATCGTACGCAGCGCGTAGTTCAGCAGTGGTCTCATTTTCAACAATGACCGGAGGGTCGTCCTTCGGGTATTTTAGCAAACCCAAAGTGTTCTGGTAAAAATACATCTTTTGTTGCCACCTCTTAAAGTGAAGCCCGTTGAATTTTTCCGGCTTTTCAACTGTAGGGACATGGACAACAGCTACAAAATGATGAACAATTGTGTTGATCTGATGCTGAGAACTGGAACCTGCTCTGGTGGATGCCAACAGTTCAATAGGTTGACTGTTATTCTTCTTGCGATTGTTGGATACTTGGTGTGAAATTACACGGGAATCCTACGAACTGATATGTAATTTTCAGTTCTTACAGATAATCTAAAAATAGAAAATTATAATTAAACTGAAAAATAAATTACAACTGAAAAGCGGAAAGATTAAAGCCGAGGTGAGTAAATCTCTTTCCTCAAGAAGAATACGCCCCGTGTGTTGCTAACGGTTCAGGCGTATCTTCCCCAAAGATACAACGGAAAACGTCTCTAAATCTGTAGCACACCAGATTTACGAGCTCAAACGAACTGAAACGGAGTTGAGAATTGAGCACTTAAAAATAAAAAGAATATCATAAAACAAATAAAATTATCACTTGTTTCTTCTCTTTTGATATTTTTATATCCGATATTTGGACATAAATCCTTCTCTTTTGATTTTTTTATATCCGATATTTGGACATAAATGTATCTTTTCTTTTCTTTCTCTTTCTCTTTCTTTTCTCTCTTTTTTTCTCTTCTTTTTGGTCTTTCATTCTGTCCGAGCATACATATTTATAGTTATCAATATCAAGTGTAAGCTGAAGCAAATAGCCAAATAGCCTTAATAATTGCACATGCAATATCAATAATACAACTCAACTTCTCGTGAAAGATGCCCTGTCAACTTGAGGGTGTAAGATTCCCGGTTTTGCTGTGAAGCCAACAGTTGGCTCCATAGTGAAGTCAACTTTCTATATACAACAAATAAACCTACCATATTAATAAAATTATATTAATGTTATTTAAGTAATCATAGAATATGGTAGGTTTACTTGTTGTATATAGAAAGTTGGCTCCACTATGGAGCCAACTGTTGGCTCCATAGCAAAATCGGTAAGATTCCATGCCAACTTTGTGTTTTAAAATAGATATTAGTTGACAATAATATATTTAATACAATCAATCAATTTACAGCAACACTTGAGTTTAAAATCTGCACAATCAGGGATCGCAAATGATGACGAGACCCACGATGAAAAATCTATAATTGCTCGAGCTATCAAACTCAAGATTCGAGTAAAAAGAGTTTGAACTTGGAAATTTAGAAGGAAGAGAAATATAAAATCCACCGTGAGAGATGATTTTTTTCATGATCAACTTGTAGACGAATCATCAAATTTTTGTATGAAGTTCATAACAGTTGCTTGCTTCATAAGAACGCGGACCTTACAACCATTACATGTCCATTTCAACAAAAAAAGAAAGAAAGAAAGAAAGAAAAGAACTCCCAAAAATTGTTTGTTTTTCAATTTGAGATTTTCCCAACTTTGTTGTTTGATGTCTAATTTGTTTGAAATGTTTCTAAATTTTAGATTTCGTTATATTGTGATGGTACTCATATTAGGATAAATTTTCGATATGCACAGTCATATGCATCAGAGTATTGATAGCAATAGCTATGATGGCGCCACTCATATTAGGAGAAATTTTTATGCTTAATATAAATATTGAAAATATTCTCTAATCAGTAAGTGTGTGTGGTGTGTGGTTTTTTTTTCTACATCTTATTTTCATTGACATCTTTGTTGAGTTAGAAAAATTGAAAATTCAGATAAGAAGCCAACGATTTTAAATTGACAAGTTTGTCCCTAAATAAACTAGCAACGCGTATTTGCCCTCACAAAAAACAATGGTGACCGAAAATTGATTAAGTGCAAATTATTGTGAAGTTATCTGGACAAAGTATCGCAAGAAAAGGTTGAGGGGAAAAGTGAAAAAAAAAATGTATAGTTAGATAGTAAGGTAGATTTTTCCCTAAATAAATAATTAAAAAGTCATTTTGCTCTTACAAATGAGCCATGGTTATCGAAAATTTCTTAAGTTCAATTTCTTGCATAGTTATATTAATTGGATAAAATAAAAAAAAAAAGCATATAGTTAGATAGATTAAATAATTTTTCAAAATAGAATAAAAATGTACGTATCTCAAATTGGAAACCTAAAAAATAAAGATAAAAAAGAAAAACCATAAAACTGAAAAGGAAATGGTTAATAAAAAAAAGACTCACTTTCCTCACATTTTCTTTCTCACCCCTAGAGGTGTGTTTGGATATAAATTTGTTTTGAGTCTTGATTGGATGTTTATAATTAACGAGTTAATTTTAAAAAATTGTTGAGTTACGTTTGAGTAGAATTTTGAGTTTGTATTAAGGGACAATTTCTTTTAACCTCAACCTGAAGATATATTAATTTTTTTACCCTGCCCGGTAATAATCTAGCTTTTTTACAACAGAAAATGCGAAGATTATACGAATGGTTCACATAACTCTTGCATATCAATCGCATAACTATCGTACATTCACCTTGTTATGCGAATTTCTCACACTGTAATTCACACAGTTGTCGTAGAATTATTGCATAATGCCTTTTGCACGTTTAAGGTGAAAAAGTTAACTTACAATTTAATGGTGTAAAATATGTATTCAATTTTAAGAACAATGTGTAAATAATTATTTCCTCTTGTATTAAATCATATTTAAAATAACATGAATAAAATTAATTTGATTTAAAAGTAGAAGAAAAGTGCTTGAGATTAAAGTTGATGTAATATTGAGAATGGTTGAAATTAAAGTTGATGGGATATTGAAAATGATTGATTGCTATTATTTAATTATGTCGATAATATTGAGTTGAGTTAGATGAATTAAATTTAAATTAGATTTTAAGCGAAAATAGTTGAATATTTGTTACACATGTAATATAATTAATAATATATAATATAATAATTAGTCGTAGAGAGAGAAACAATTTGAGATTCTTTTCCCGATTTCATCGTCAGTCGCCACCTCTTCACAGATAAAGAAAGAATTACAAAAAGGGAAATTTGCGAAGATCGGAGCTATGAATCTCCGGCAAACTGAAGATTGAAAATGCCAACTGCTGAAAATTCGAGCTCCGATCTCCAAACGCCGTAATTTAGGGTTTTTTCCAGGTAGAGATGGACGCGGAGTCTGCTATGGCTACGGAGACCGATCACGATCCGTCGTCAGAGCAGCCTAGCGCGGCTAATGGTTCGGGCCGGCCCGCAGAACCCGAATCCGAGACCTCCTCGTCCCAGCAACACAGTAATAATAGCGATAATAACATGAACAATAGTAGTTACAGCGGTGGTGGTGGTGGTGGAGCAGCTCTGGCGGCAGGGCCACGGTGTGCGCCGACGTACAGTGTGGTGAACGCAATAATGGAGAAGAAGGAAGATGGCCCGGGGCCTAGGTGCGGGCACACGCTGACGGCTGTCCCAGCCGTTGGTGAGGAGGGGAGCCCAGGGTATATTGGCCCCAGGTTGATTCTTTTCGGAGGAGCTACGGCGCTTGAGGGGAATTCCGGGCAGTCGGGGACTCCATCGTCCGCCGGAAGTGCTGGAATTCGTATGTGTCGTTTAACTCGTTATTTCATTCTCAATTAAGTTGTAGATGATTCGTTTGGCCCAGTTTTTGGTGATATAATTACCTTGTTATGGGGTTTGAATAAGATGATTTTGTCAGTTCAGCTGTCGACTGAGTTTTTTCGGAAGCTGCTGTCGGATTCTGATATTGAGGGGTTGTTACTTGTGTACTGTGATAAATTTTTTACATAACTGATATTTTAAGTTAATTTAGAGTGGTTTTCTTCTTCCTAAATATTGTTAGGAAGAAAAGAAAAACTTGTTTGTTTGTTTGTTTTTTGGAATGACATCAAATGTTACTAAACTATTGACAGTCGTGCTGACGTGCTTGAGAGTTATTTTAATTACTTCGTTGATTCAGAGCTATTCATGACATGTAGCATGAATTTAATTGCAGGGTTGGCTGGAGCTACTGCCGATGTACACTGTTATGATGTTTTGACCAACAAATGGTCTCGGTAAGTGTGATTTTAGTTATTCAGAGTGACAAATTCTTTTCTTTTTCTTCTGAGTGGCCGTTGTATCGGTTTGTTTGAATTTTCTTGTACTAAGGTGTGAGCTTTAATATTCACAGCATTACTCCAATTGGAGAACCACCCACACCTCGTGCAGCTCACGTGGCAACTACTGTTGGCACCATGGTTGTCATTCAGGTTTGTAGACGCATTGTGTGATTTGAAAAGCTACCTCATTTATGTTTCTGTTTTCATATTTATGCCACGTGTTCGTGTCCTTCCAGGGTGGGATAGGTCCTGCAGGTTTATCCGCAGAAGATCTCCATGTCCTGGACCTTACACAACAACGGCCAAGATGGCATAGGTTTGTGTCTTGGCTATATACACACAGTTTTAACTAATGAAAAAAAAAAATAAATAAATCATTGCTGTTGCATTGAAGATGTCATCTACATTTTATTATGATTGTCCTCTTTTATGTTCTTCTATCCTTTTGTTAGGGTTGTGGTCCAGGGTCCTGGGCCAGGGCCACGATATGGTCATGTGATGGCTTTGGTTGGACAAAGATATCTTATGGCAATTGGAGGGAACGATGGTTTGCCTGCTTTTTTCAACCATTTTTAGAATTGTGTTAAATATTGATTTCTGTAACCAAATAATTTTGTGCATGCTAATAGGAAAACGACCGTTGGCTGATGTGTGGGCGCTGGACACTGCTGCAAAGCCATATGAATGGCGCAAACTGGAACCAGAAGGTGAAGGTCCACCTCCTTGCATGTGAGTTTGTGATTTCTGTTGCCTTCTTTTCAACTTTTGACACACACACACACACACACACACACACACACACATCTCCTGCTTGCTTTTCCCACTTAAATTCTGAGTGCATCTAATACAAATCAGCTAAAATTATATAATCATGCGTCAAGGCGCCTGTTTGGATAGAATAGCTGTCTCTGTTATCTTTAGAAGGCATGATTAATTTGGCATTTATTTTACGTATGGATGGTTGAAGTTGCATGGGTAAAGCTGATGGGAGCTCATTGAGTCATATAGTTTCTATTTCTTTTTTTTTATCCAATTATTTTATTTTTTGAGGGGCATAATTTCAAAATTGGTCCTATAATTTGACCACTTTCCAAAAAACCACCCCGATATTGACCACTTTCAAACTTGGTCCTATAATTTGACATTTTAATCAAATTTGGCCCTTTTTATCCGGAACATGGATTAAAATGTGATTAAAAAGGACCAAAATTGATTAAAAAAGGACCAAATTTGATTAAAATGTCAAATTATAGGACCAAGTTTGAAAGTGGTCAATATCGGGGTGGTTTTTTTGGAAAGTATTCAAATTATA